TTGTTGCTCAGAGTATTTTGTATGCATGATTGTCAAATTCTCATTTGACATGGTTAACCTGAAATCTTTTCTCTTTATAGGACCAGAAGCCCATGAAGCTATTTTGAAAGTGCTAGACCTTCAGTGGTATGCCACCGGACCAAAGTATTAATTATAAGCTCTTCCGGTTGGCTTCATTTCTAAAAATACTTACATGTATTATTTCTTCATGCGTGTAGCGTGGTCAAAGTTCTCGAAAACCCCAATTGTCTCAATGGACTGAAAAAGCCGGCATATGTGACATATTGAAATCTCCGGTTGGTTTGTTGATCATTTTAACTGCTGTTTTCAATACTGAATCGACTCTCTTAGCTTATATATAACAACCAGTGCTTGATATTATGGCATGAAAATCCTTTTCAGGTTAGGATTGCTATGGTTGGAAAGTATATTGGCTGTTTCCAATACCGAATCGACTTTCTTAGCTTATATATAACAACAAGTGCTTGATATTATAGCATGAAAATCATTTTCAGGATGGGATTGCTATAGTTGGAAAGTATACTGACCTGTAAGATTCCTACCTATCTGTTATCAAGGTGCCATTACTATTTTGTCTTATAACACAGATACAGTTTTGAACCAAACTGGTGGGCCTTATCTGTTTCTTCATCTTCTGTCAAGCTCTTTTGCATGCGTTGGTTGCTTTGGACACGAAACTTGTGGTGGACTGGATTCCTCCCTGTGATCTTGAAGATTCTACAGCAGAAGAGGTCAGTTTTATTTATGCCTTATCAATTCTTCTTTTCTATATCTTAGAAAATTAACTGACTAATTGGGATACCGTCGCATTTGTAGATTCCTCATGCCTATAAAAAACCATGGGAGTCGCTAAAGGTAAGCATAAAATGCCCTCTTATGACATGCCACTAGTCCACAATATAGAAATCTGAACGAATTTTTATTTGCACCTCAGGGTGCATATGGTGTGTTGGTGCCAGGAGGTTTTGAAGACAGAGAAGTCCAAGAGAAAATTCTTGCTGCAAAATATGCACGAGAATTTCATATCTTGCCATTTTCTCGGGCATGCAAATTACATAGAAGTTGCACGAACAACACAGAGTTATCTTTGTATTTCGAAGTAAGGAAACAATAAACAAATATCACTTTAACGTCGATATTTAATTTACAGTATTGTTTTTTTATTGTACGATTCGTGTGTTTTTAGTATAAAAGTTTTACCGTCGCATGGCGATGTACGGACACGCTACCCAGTGAACTAAAAAAGAAAAGAAATAATGCCCGCGGCGTCCCTGCGATAATGCTACTCTGATGGCCTGCTGACCGAATGATCCCCCACCTGCTCCGTTTCCTTGAGACGTTGGGCGTCCGTTGCGTTGCGTGCGATTCGCGGGGCGGGGGTGGCCCAAGCAGAGCAGCGGGCCAGCGGCGACGCGTTCGGGGAAGGAGAGGTCGGACGCCTCGCGCGGTCCTGATGAGCCTGACGGTCTTCTGGTTGCGCGTGTGTTTCACCAACCGTGCAAGCAAGGTAGCAGCCGGGAGGGACCGAGGGAGTGGCGAGTGGCGGCACCGATACGGTACGCGTACCTCGGGCTGCTGGTCCATGGAGGTGGACCAGCTCCATGGAAGGGAGAAGGGGACAGGTCAAGGAATGGATATCCTTAGTTTTGGTCACGGTCAACCCTGACCATATGTTGTTTACTCCGGTTACTACAAAGGTCATGTTCGCTTGTTGGTGCCAGGGTTTATCAGTCAGGTTACAGTGTTTTTCTCTCACAATAAACCAGCTCTGGTCGGACTTATTAGTCCAGAAACCAACCAGCGAACATGCTGAAAAACTGCTGGTTCTTGACGACAAACTAGCGAGTCCACTTGTGGGATTGGGCAAACAGAATCAATCATGCCCCTTGCATTGCATACTGATGGCCTTGTTCGCTTGTCTTTTGAGCCGCATTATTTTAGTAAACGAATAGCGTTTTTCTCTCCCAACAAATCAACAGACAGTACTTTTACCCGTGTCTTTTCAGTGAAACGAACATAGCCGATGGCGAGGAAATGGCACGAGGCCTACTACGTGCATGATGCTAAACATACCCGAACCCAATCAACACGCGTGTCGTGAATCGTGATCGAGCTAGAAATGCGTAGCCTATGTGGTACGGTGGGTGGTGGCCGGTGGAGTCCCTGGGCCAACTAGAGAGGTCCCCCGCCCGTTTGGTTCCCAATTTTGGACGCAACGCAACGCAAGCAATCCCATGATCCCAAATTCCCAATCAGGCATAGCTTGTGCCATGTCGATTTCAAGGGTCCATCGTTGTCATACGGGAACGGGATTGCACAAGTGCACACAGATCACGTTCCTCTCGAGAGCTAGAGCGCTCGCGGGCTCAACGGCACGGCCACTTCACTGCTAGTCCATTTCGTTGAGAATAGGAGAATTTGTACTGATTCACAGCTAATCAGCTCAAAATTTCTTGGGTAATCCACTTGTTTTTAATACACTTAGCATGCCTCGTTATCAAGGCTGGGCAAAAAAAAAAAGAACCGGCTCCGGCGACGACGAGGACGAGAACGTCGCCAGCGACCATCGCCGCCGCTCCCACTCCCGCTGCTGCAGCCGCGTCGCGGCGGCGCTCATCGTGTTCGCGCTCGGGCTTGTGCTCTGTTTCGTGCGTGACCCGGATCGTGCGAGGCCTTCGCTTCGGGCCGGCGCCTCTGCGGCTCGTCAACATCACTTGGTACGATTTCAAGATGTACAGATATACGTACCAAGGTACCAGGCCTTGAATACGACCCTTTCACATGCAGTATTTACAAAAAAGAATATATTATCTTAGATTACTGAATCCAGCAATGTAAATTTGTACTGTTTATCCAGCCATGTTCATCGATGGTTTACTGCGGTTGATAAAGTTCTATTGATCTTATTTTGTTGTGAGAGAAAATATCTCAGACGATAAATTGATAAGTTCAAGCGAACAATTCAATTATCCCATTTTTCAAGCCTTTAATGATGATGTTTTGTGTGACAAAATGCAAATTTATAAATGTTTATTATATTATATATTTTTGGTTCGTTGGGCTTCATAATTGTTTACGGGTTATAACCTCAGAAATTTTACAGTGCTTAGAAAAACTAGGAAGAACCAATAGAGAGGAATTTAAGCTGCGGGTCGGAACCTAAATCACGTGGGCAGGAACTAGTTCTAAATTAAATTTGAAGGGTAGATTAGTACTTTTGTGTCTCTCCTCGTCTCGCCGTGCGCTATCTTTCCGTCTCTCGTGTCTCCCGCAGCTCCCTCCCTCTCCGAGCGTCGGCGGCGCGGCGGCCGCGGCTTGGGCGCAGACGCGGGCCCTGCAGTTCCCTCCATCTCCTAGCGGGCGGCGCGGCAGCCAAGCGGGCGGCGCACTCGCCGGCGCGCGGGCTCTAAGCTACGGCACTGTTGGCCCACCTGCTGAAGCTCCTATATGTTCCGTCGTGCTCGCCGTTGATGCTCTAGCAATCATGCTGCTACTTCTCCTCGTGGAAGCTGTGTGTACTAATCCGTTTGAAGCCCGCAAGTACCATTCCACAGATCGTCTAACAATACAGAATTCAATGATGATTTAATTAACAAAATTCATTGCTCACAGATCTGCTAACACATGACATGAAGCAATTAGCTGACCCAGGTCTTAAAATAATTCTGTCAAGAGGAAGCTAGCAATTGGGTTTTACACAACAATCCAGTGGGCTCCAGGTCCTCCATAGCAAGGGCTGGTAGAAACTGCCGAGCCCCTACCACCGGCCAAGCGGGCGACCTGCAGGCCCCCAACAAATGGTTGGTGCAGAGCTTGTGAAGGTGGCCGGCGGTGACCCCTACAGACGATGGGTGCAGAGCTCCTGCAGATGGCCGGCGGTGATCCACGGACAGGCGGCCAGCACCGGTGGCGTTTAGTTCGTGCGATAGAGGGAAAAGAAAGAAGAAACCGGCCAAATATAGTATCTACTGGAATGATCAAATTAACCTTATGGCTGAAAAAAATTCCCCGGAGAGGAACCACAGGTTCCTTCCAAGCACCGTAACAAACCTCATAATTATAATATATATAGGTGGATCATTGTTCATTTCTAACTAGAAAGGAAAATCATGTTTAGTTTTCTTTGTAATGAACAATTTGCAAAAAATAAATAAATCTTCAGCAAAAAATAATATATTCGCTAAAAAAGCATTGTCCCAATTGTTTTTCATGAGGCGTCTCTCAAGAGTCAAGAGCACGAAGATCATGTAGTGATGTACTACATCCTCCTAAGTAGTAAGACGTTTTTTACTTGTATAGGTACATATAGGTAAATTGATTTTTACTATGTATTTAAAGGCACCCCATTTCAAATTATAAGACATTGTTTTTACTTTTGTAGGTTCAATGAATTTTACTTATATATCTAGGCATAGCGTATATCTATTATTTTTTTTAAAAAAAACTGAAACGTCTTACAGTCTTACAATTTCGAATGGAGTACGCTAGGTTACTGTTTGCCATACACAGATAAGATCTCAACAGGCCACTGCATGCATCGCACTTGAAAGAAAGCTTTGGCACCATCGAAGCAAGATGTGGCTGCAGCTTAGAGCTATAGCATTTCAAGAAAATGGATTGCTATAGAAGTCGTTTTTTTTCCAATTACAAAGCAAAGACAACCTTCATCTTTGCTTATGCCCAGGAACATCACATCTTAGCAGCGGCAGTTCAGCCTTTCAGGAAAACCTCTAGTACAGAGTCTACAGTGTACAGGCTATAAGCTCAGGCCAACCATGAACCGGATAAGGAACCCCAATACTACAAAGCAAAATGAGACCGTTGGGGTTCCACAACAGCACAGCGCTGAACGGCAATGGGTATGTACAGGTACAGTGCTATTGTCTGGGCACTTCGTCCGTCAAATCTGGGGTTTAAGGAAGCATCTGGTTAAGCCACAACGGACAATATTCATCAACGCATCAGGCGGAACAGGATCATCAACAAGCCCTCCTCCGGCTGCCACCTCTTGGGCTTCTAGGGCTCCCTTGGTTGGAGAAAGGATGCCTGCTCTGAGCCATAGGTGAACTGTTGCCACCAGCTCCATGATTCATGACGCGACGAGGAGAATCATTTCTCATGCTTTGGGTATCAGCCTCAAGTTGCTTAGCCTCCTCTTGTAACATAGATAGCTGACGCATGTAGGTTCCATGTTAGTGCCTTACAAGGCCAAGAGTTGTCAAAAGATGCAAGCTAGTCTACTCACCCGAAGTTCATTTTCCTTCAGGCGATCCTGAAGCGTAGTAACAGCTGGACTCAAACTATTGAACAAAATGTGAACCACATAAATTAACTGACATTATGCAGTATATTTAGCTAAAATGAGACAAGGAGACTCTGCTCTCACCAATACTCCATTAGTTTGCAGAGAGAGGAGTTGTATGTAGACGTATGGTGAATGGATGTAAGAGGGTGAATTTTCCCATCACTGCAACAGACGCATAAACATATTACCACATAAGAAAGCATGGGATTTTGTTTATAGTATTGTCAAGAAGGAACTTGAGTTACCAAATATTTTGTTGCATAGCTTGATTATATGCTGATTGCTCCTCTTCAAAGAGGACTCGTTGCATATCACAGTAAGAGGTCATCGTGGTGTCCAGCTTGAGGAGATACCTTGTAGGGAGCACAAAAAGTGGCACCTCCTTCCCTCTATACTCTGCACCACTGTTGGCAAAAAAAAAAGACTGGATTAGAAACTAGATGGTTGTATTAAACCACACTGCCTTTGGTAAACCATCCATGAATATTTATCAAATATGAGGACCTTTAAGACATTTCATCTTATAGACTTATCGTACACAATGAACTTAAATACCCTTGATCTCATGAGATACATCATAAGGTGGCAAGGAAATGACATGACACTACAACAAGTGTATAGGGAACATAGAACAGCAGTACAACACTAGGGCACATCCTGTTTGCTCATATTTAGTGTATTCAATGGTATAGACATGCAGTGTCAAAAAAAGCATCATGGAGTCAATAAGATGAATGCTGGGAAAAACACAAGGCACTACACCAATAGTTTCATTAGAGAAGGCACTTGTGACGATAACCATATGAGAGAGGTTTCTTTATTGGGAGAATTCCTTGTGAGCCATTAAAAAAGATCGCAATTCCCTGTGAGCCACTGAAAAAGTTCAGCGGACTTCAACGCCACTACTCCAACTTTTTTTGCCCTCCATGCCATTGCCGCTGGGTTTGAGCTCTATAATTGTCAAACTGCAGGTGTGAAAGTCGAAAATACCCTTAGGTCTAAATATGCCATTAATTTTTTAGTATCTTAACGACTTCAAATGGAAAACTCAAAACTAGAAAGTTGTAGATCTCGTCGAAATCTATAATTTTCATATAAAATTATCTTCTTTTAATACCACAAAAAAGAAATGATTTTTCTAAGATATATTAATCATATCAAATCATATCTTTTTTTATGGAATTAAATGAAGATAATTTTTATATTGAAATTATAGATCTCGATTTAGATCTACAACTTTCTAGTTTTGAGTTTTTTCATTTGAAGTCGTTAAGATGCTCAAAAAATTAATGACATATTTACACCTAAGGGTAATTTTGACTTTTCACACCTACAGTTTGACACCGTTAGGGTCCAATCTGACGACAGTGGCATGGAGGGCAAAAAAAAATTAGAGCAGTGGCGCTGAAGTCCGCTGAACTTTTTCAGTGGCTCACAAGGAATTGCAATATTTTATAATGGCTCACAAGGAATTCCCTCTTTATTTTCTTTTTTGAAAAGCCATGAAGAGATTTTTTTTAAAAAAAAAGGCATGAACATGTAGGAGGAAGTCAAGGTATCTTTGCATTGACAAGAAGGCAGCTGAATTGAAGCCAAAGAGGGGTAAAATCTGGTTAACATGAAAGTACATTTTTTATTAATATTAAAGCACAGAAAGCCACCCATGTTTGAGCCAAAGAGGACTAGAACCTTGGGTGATGAGGGCATGCATACTTCCAATGTCATGTTTCATTCGAGAAAAAAGAAATGAAAAGCTCAAAGAGTCCTTAGGGAAGTAAAGTTGCATAAAATTGAGTTAAATGATATTACAAGGTAATCCCAAGACTACAAGGTAGTGTACAACTACACATTGCTTACTAAGTTAAGATTCTAAATATATACATCAATTGCTACTGTAACCTTTTCAAGAAACAAAATGATTTAGATTACTCATTATTTGGATACCTTATGTCCATAGTTGACCGGTGCAAAGCCTCCTGGAGACTTGGAGTCATATCTGAATCATATGGATCAACAGACGCTTCTTGTGTGTTATCAGGATTGTACAGAATGAGCGCGTTTTCTCTGGGTTGATAATTTGTGGAATGGTTTGTGTCAGGATGAGAGTAGAAATCTATAGATCTTTTCCAGGCCTATCACAATCAGAAATAAGTTCAGTTAGTTTGCCAGTATATTGTATACCAGTAAGTAAATAGGCACATACATAGAACTGCATGAACTATAGCCTAAGGGCTCAGGCATGAAAACAAGCACCATGAATAATTGAAATGCGTCGATTAGCAGTGTTGAACCCAATTGAGCCATTTGACAACTCAACAAAGATTTACTACATAAGCTAGTAAAAACACAGTGCTAATAACATACTGTGTATACAAAATCTCTTTTCTTATGAGAAACAAGCTTACTCCACAATTATCACAGCACAAGGTATTACATATTCTCACTAAATGATACTTGTGAGATACACAAATTCAACTAAGCAATATGGCCCCAGCAAATATCAGAACAGGCAACAAAATGCCCCATTGATAGAATCAGCAGACAAGCTTGCCCCTCAAAAGATATGTCACGATATGTTCTAATCACAGACAAATTATTCACCTGTGTTTATACTCTACTCTGGAATGTGAAAGCAGTAATGAAATTAGACTACACATGATGGTTAGAAGTAATGAAGCCCACTTTTCAACTGCAATCTGACACTCCGCTTCTAAAGGTGCCTATAAAAAAGGCACTTAAGTTTTTTTTTCCAACAGGCCCCATGTCTAAAAATGTGGAAGGCTACATACTTGGTCTCACATGGTTGTCTTTTATCAAGATGAAATAATATGAAATATGAGTGCTTATCACTTCCTGTTGCAAACCCTTCCATTAGGAAGGCATGGCATTTTATCTATTAGTAAATACCTTCAGCGAATTGGAATCTAAAAATGTACAGTTGTAGGCTTGTAGCCAAACCAAAGACACAATATAAAATGATGGTAAGTAGTTATTAGCAATATGATTTACGATTTACCAAACCAATTGAAATGGAGCAATAAAAAGATAACCATGGAGGGCATTAATTACTCTCATGTGATGGTAGCATCCAAACAAGCGAGTGCATATTATAAAATTTGACAAGATAAAAGAATATTTCAGTAATTTATTTTTGTAAGCCTACAGTTAAAATTTTCTTAATCAGCAGTGAATAGTTTTCGAGTGGTGGTGCCATCTAAGCACCATAAGATGCTTCTTAATTAATCGAACTGAACCAGATCATTTAAGTAGAAGGGAATCTGCCTGGAGCTTCAGGACACAAACAGAACGGTTACTTAACTGATTAACGTGGGTCAATGTTTAAAGCTGGAACTAACTTCCATATCTATAAATAGTTTCAAACAAAAAAAGATCCCTAAACAAAATGCTTACAAAAGACCAGACATATTCAATTCAACAACCAGCTATGCATTAACTAACTGTTATGACTTGGGCGATGCGTTGCAAACTTAATCTTTTCCCCCAGCTTTCCAGCATCATTTATTGTTTTAGGCATTTTCCTTCTAGCAAGCAAAATATGCACAGTTTCTTGTATCATGCAGAAAATATAGGTGTACCAGAAAAGGCCATGAAATAAATGCTGTAAGTACATGTGGTATCGGACTAAACCTTGTTATTCTTTGAGGCCCTGGAATCCCCTGTATCCTGTTCCATGCCCTCAACCGATGCAGAATGTGAAGCGAACGCATTATCTGATGAACTAAAGGATGAATCAAGGTCAATGACTGGAGCGATGGTGGAAAGAGGAAGCGCATGCTGTTGTCCACCCTCTGACTGAAAGGCAGTCACTTGGATTTTTCCAACCTGCGTGAATATCAAAATCCAAGCAATACTAATAAATGATACATGTACTCCAAACAGGATATGAACATGTTATTCATATGGAGTTTATAAGCATCATACCTTTTGAGCATCTTCACTAAAACAAGAAAATATCAGGCCCACAAAGCCTGTATCCAGCAACTGAAACATTGCTTGGGTACGAACATCTGGAAAATACGACTCATGGGGGTTATACAAAATATAGTTTGAACTTATTGTATATGGGCAGCATCTCACAAGAGAATGAAGAGAAAAGCCCATAAAAGCAGATACACTAGCAAATTCTCAAGACCTCCATACTCCATAGTACCATAGCCACCATCAAATGGTCAACAAATGGACCCTCTGCCTTTGTAATGAAGGAAATTATATGTCACTGTCATCTTGAACCTCTGGAGCAAAGCTAATGTCTATTTTTAGCATGTTCCCAAGCCCGAGTACTCAAAAGCAAAGCTACTTAGTGCCAACGGCAGCTATCATACTTGATATCCATTATAAGAAATGGCAAGTGGACATCAGTGGGGACCTAGTAAGGGATAAATCACTTAAAAGAGTGTGCTCGCAAATAACAACATCATCAGGAAATTCCTAAATCATGTAAGCGAACCGACACATATTTGACAGCATTACAGCTATTCTGTGAGACAAATGCCAACATCAAATCGAGGGCACTTGAGCTAGTTGAAGCACAAATGTGCAACCCTGGGCACAAAATGATTCGCCAGTGGAGGAAATGTGAATTGCTTACCTACATGGGACGGCAGAACGGTGATATGTGGGTGCGAGTGGTACCATCCGATCACCCTCGTAGTCCCTCTTGATGGTGGCCGTCATTTTGTGCGAACAGGAGTTAAGTCCAGCCCCCAGAAAACTCAATACCACTCCACACAAAACCAAAGGGAGAGGAACAAGCAAAATCTCAGAAAAGAAAAAAGGGAGCGGAGAAAAGGATATCTCGGCTTGCGCGGATGAGGCGGCGAGAAGCTCGGGGTTGACCTCGACGCGGTCCTTCTTCCGCTCGCACCTCATCTGCGGCGACGCCCCCCATATCAGGGCGGTGGCGCCCTTGCTGGAAAGCTACAGGTAGGCAAGTAAAACCAACCACAACCACGATCCCGTCAGAGGAGAAAACCAAAACATCCACCCAAGCATTCCTGAGATGGGGAAACTGAAAGGATCAGGTGGTGTGCGACGGACCTCGATGTCGCCCAGGAGGAGGCCCATGACCTCCTCGGTCTCGGTGGTGAGGGCGTGGGAGAGGCATGTGAGCCACACCTCCTCGCCGATCTTCACCGAGGACAGCGACATCTCCGCCGCCGCCGGTCGGCTGTGGTTTCGGGCGGCGGTGGACTGGTTGGTGCGGGGGGTGAGCTCGGGCCTTTTTTGGGGAACGGCTGCGTCCTGCGTCGCGTCGCTGGCGTGGCTTGTGCGGCGTGTTTCACTGCGGGGTTGGGGACCAGAACACGCTGTCCAGTGTGGGGTCATGGGTTCAGTGCGGCTGGACCGGTCGAAGGCACTGCAGGTGGAGCCAGGACCAGGAATTTGGATGGGGAAAAGAATCATTTCTGCCTTCGTTTGCTGAAGTTTTCTCTTTTACTCTTAAATCGGACAAACTATATCTCTATCAAATCTCAAAACCGTTTATGTTACCTCTCTGCCTATTTTTTTCTAATAAAAAATTGGTAAACACCTCACAATAAGTTTTTAAAACTATAAATAATAACATGAATAGGAATACTAATCCAAATAGAAAAGATAAGTGTAGAAATTATACAAATATTATCTTAGATCTTTGTTCTCTATCTCTATTTTTTAATACTAAAGAGTTTTTTATTCTCAATAATTCCCCTGTAAAGAGTTTCATGTCATTGTTCGTGATCTGGCTGTCTAATTCATGATTTGGTACTGGCTTCATGTGCCTTGTTCGCATCGCACATTGTAGCCTTCCTCCCTTCGCCCTCCGGTACCTCGCCCCCATGCCGGCGACAGGTCTTGAGTAAGGCATCTCACGGTCATGATGCGCTACTCGCGCCATGCCGCGCTCACAACATGTGCCTCCAGGCCATGCTCGAGAGGGAGTAGCTAGTGGGGATGAGGAAGATTGAACTCACGGAGACTTGAGAGCGAGTAGTCGAGAGCACGACAAAAGGGGAACACAGATGTCACGAAAGAAATCTCGTGGAGAGGGAGAGAGAGGGTGCCAGGGTGGGTGGACACAAGGGCGGTGGATAGAGAGGGACTTTAGGGAGAATCGACATGGCATGAGATAGATGGTTCAGAGACTTTGAACTGACGCGTGGGATGTAGTAGTTGGGTAAGTTGAGTTTCTAGCTTTATAAATAAATTTCTTTTAGAGACTGTTTGCCCAAAATGATGCATTATGTGAATAGCCATACTATGATAAAGCTTCAATTTAGCTACCTCTGGCCTCTAAAAATTTATATCATGGGTCCACCACAAAATTATTTCTTCTACTACTGTTTCTAGAAACTTACTTCGAGTTCATCCTCCACATGCCAATAAACATAATCCAACTCCAGTACTACCCTTACGTCCTTCTTAACCCACATGTAATCCAAACTCATAATCTGTGCTCATATTAGTTAGAACAACTCGTTGAATGAAGTACGGTTTTTAAGACCTATTGGATTCCGTTGCAATGTACAAGCATATTTGCTAGTCTCTCTCAAATGTCAAATCTCAAAACCGTTTAAGTTACCTCACCGCCTCGTTATAGGTGGCCTTATTCCTTTTCTAACAAAAAAATGGTAAACACCTTGTGTGAGCACACCTAATAATAAGATTTTAAAACAATGAAAAATATCTCTAATTGTATAGAAATTTTGAGAAAAAACATAAAGGTAGAATATGAAATGAGGATCCAAATAAAATATTTTGACCTCATCAAAATATCTTTAGAAATCTCCAAAATTTGAATTGAGCTATAGAAAATGCAAAATTCTAATTGTTGTATAATCACATCTTGAAAACCATCCACAACAAAAATGAGATGAAATCAATATGAATGCATTAACATTAATGTATGTATACATTCATGTTGATTGTATCACATATCTTCGTGGTGGAAAGTTTTTAGAACATGTTTAGACATTGATTATAATGTTTCAAAAATTTCCAACTTTTTTATTTTTTGTACTTTAGAGATAAATCAAATTTCTAGAAGCTTTTGGATATGTTTTCACAAGATTGAAATGTTTTTTTGGGTTTCTCATATTCTAATTTATCTCTAGTATTTTTAGCTTACATTAAAGATATTTTCCATGCTCCATAAAGTGTTTACCCAATTTGTTAATTAAAAATGATGATACCCCATTAAAAATCACTTCTATTTGGGGTAGGGATGAAATTTAAAAGGTTTTGAAAATTAAGGGAGATAGTTTGTTCTATTTTAGATTTTGAGGAGAAAACATGGATAATGATGATAGTTTAGGCAGGTAAAAAAGGACTATTTTCCAAATTAGATCTTAACAAGTTAGGCCATCCCATCTAGGCTCCTATGGGCCAGGGAATGGCATGAAATTCATTACATAGGTTGGCCTTGGGCAAAGCTTTTATTTACCAAGCTTTTGTATCAACATTTGCCTTGTTGAATAACAATTGGGGAATCGTGGTCATTTATCTCTTTTTTGCCCCTAATATATACCTATAGTATTAAATGATGAAGCTGTTTTTTCCTCCATCTTTTTTAAATCTTAGAATGCCCTCACGTTCTTCATGTCCTGTATATGACTTGGGCTCACGATCCATGCTTATACGAGTTGGAACAACTCACGCCTAATGATGGTGAGAGTTCAATCCCAAAACATATTGGGTTCATCGTCAACATCAGTGTCATCTACTTCACCTATGCCAACCTTTTGCCTTCAGAGGCTTTGTGATCAACATCGGTGTCGTCGACTTCACCTACGCCAACATTTTGGCTCGAGGGCTTTACAATCGACTTTTGTGTCATCGACTTCACCTATGCCAACTTTTCGGCTCAGGGGGCTCGTTGGCATCATCATCTTCGTCTTAGTTGCAATTTAGCTTGAGGGGCTTGCCATCAACATCGACATATTCATCTTCACTTTCTCCACCAAATTAGAGCAAGCTAATTGCCTACATCATCTACGAAAACATCCATGTCTACATCATCTATTTCAAGTGCGCAAAGAATCTCTCACAAACACCAGTCAAGAGGGCTAGTGAGGGATGCATTGGAGAAGCAATTTGCCCGTGGACGCAAGCTACCTAGCGCCCGTGTGCGAGGTCCTGAATGCATGACGGTGATCGTCCATGATTACTTCATTTACTTCGATTACATCGACTACATTAGAGAAGGCTCATCCACGAAGTAAAACTATCAAGGGCCCAAGGCCACACGAAGGGTCAAGCCATCCAAAGCATAATCATGAAGACTCCATCGAAGTTTGCTACCAAAGACCCATTGGAGACAAATGCATCTCTAGTTGACCTTTGTATAGACACACAAGAATCATTTGTGTGCTCTTTTCTCAATACCTTTTTTTCCATTGGATTTTTGGGATGGAGTTTTGAGCAAGTCTCACATGTGTAGGTTGCGAAGGATGATCCTTGCAACCGAGTCTTGGTTGCATTTGGGCCTCATATAGTATTAGGTTTTGTACTACCAAACAAAACTAACCGAGGACTACTGTTAGGGTGTGACATATGTTAGAACCCCCACTATTGTGTTAAAAGGCTCAATTACTAAGCTAAGGGCTAAGGTCTTATTTTTGAGTGGTTAAGGTCCGGCTGTAATTTGTAGGCACACATTTGTAATTGTAAGCCCCACCAGGAGAATAAATAAAAATCTCCACCTCCCATCTCCCCTATAAAGGTGGACGCATGGAGGGGACTCTTGGCCAATCTATCAATTATTCTCTCCATCACTCCCCTCTCCCCTATCTCTCTTGTTTGATCTTGGACCAACACTTACTTTCAGAGCAAGCTAGCTCATCTGTTAGGCTTGTAGTGCAACAAGCTTATCTATTTGTTACTTCTTTGAGATTATTACTCACTTATTTAGATAAGAATTTGGTTGTAGTCCCTACTGATTAGAGCAAGCATCATATACGTATAGATGTTCATTGTGTATAAGTAATTATCGAAACAAGTAGACTTTGTATTTAATATGAAGTTTGAGAGAGTTAGTGATGTGTGTTTTACCATATATGTAGTATTGGATCATCCTTGCCTATTTATGTACATGCGTCTCATTTACTCATAATCAATCTACTGTTTTTCCTACAGTTGCTTTGCTTTCAGTAATGTTGATCTATGTTCGTAAATTTTATGTCACCGTTTTTGTGTGCGTAGATCCAGAAAAAGGCGTTGGCCATTATATCATTTGGGATACTTTGCTGCCTTTTGAGAATAAGTAGGAACTTGTAAGTTTGGTGTATTATGTGCAAATGGAATTAGATAACGAGATAACTAAAGTGAGCCCTTTGTTGCTAGAGTTTTTTTAATAAAGTAAGTCTCTGATTTCTAAAACTCTATAATTTGATAGTGCATCTATTTAATCTACGCTTACACCTTTTATTTTATCTCAATGTAGGTTGTGCAAGATCATGATAAACTTTGTGAACAAAGCTTTTGCAGATTTTAAAGACTACCCACCTCTTATCCAAATTTGTCGATAAAGGTAACTTTTGACGCCATATTTGGAAAAATAAGACTAATAATTGTAGTTGAATTAAAACAATGATAAGTTTGAGTAACCTAAGACAATGTCAGTAGGAACTTTTGCATTGATGATACATGGTACACTAAACTGTTACCCAACGGAGAGCCGTCTCCTCCCAGTCCACAAAACACTCTTGCTCTCATTTTAACTAATGCTGATCTAGCTTGATTATTGGATAACCTTGTACTGATGGGATTTGTTGCTGCAATTTTATTAGCTAACCAGTATAATTATATCCATTAAGGGCAAAGCACATAATCTGTCAAGGTACGGGCATAGCTGTGACAATCATGAGAATTTAGAGACCGAATAGTAGTCCTCCATGTAGGTTGGCAGAAATCTAGTTGAAAGTTTGATATCGTCATATGTAGCACACATTTTCTTTTCTCTTTTTCAATAATGCCTAACTGTAGGATATGGAAAAAATAAAATTCATACTGTTGTGATATTCATGCAGTGCTAATGGTTCATATCTTCATATTACCATATGGACTAAAGTGGTTTGTCCAAATCAGGAGTAGGCTAATCTAGTAAACACCAATGTAGCTACGTAAATAATACCATAATTTCTGCTCTTCATTGGTCTTGCTTACTCTGTCCC